GTTATCACAATTATCCGATGTTCGTAATAGTACATTATGTTTTAGAATGGATGCAGTCTAACCAGTGATACTAGCAATTAGCCAGTTCATAAGATGATGTTTACAACAACAAAAATAATAAATTGTGTGTTGTAAGAACAAATGACCAGTTGCTGGGGTGTAAATAAATTGCAGACCTGTTTACTCTTAAAATTTTGGCGTACCATGTACAATTTTGAAGTGCCTTTTTACAATTGCAGACCTGCCAACCCTTCCGATTTGTCGCAATTATATGGATTTTTTACACCTCATTCCGACCATCCGACAAACCCCTTAAAATTTTGATTTTTAGAACTTTATAAAAATTTTCACCCATCATAACAATCCGAAAGCGACCAAAAAAATAAATAAATAAATATCGGGTACGACAAGAAGTGTTGCATTTGTTTTTACGAAGAGTCTACAAGTCCGGCGAATAAGTTCTCGAGATATTCGCCCGGCTACTAACTACTATATATTTGACCAAATCACATGACCAGCTTAACAAAGTTGAGCCAGATATTTGTCCGTCAACTTTGTCATGTGACCGCTAATTGTTGATCAGTGTTTACGGTACTTCATTTCAATAAATTCAAGATAGTCTGGACATTTACATGAAACAGAAATCAATTCTACAAAAGAAATACTAGAACCATTGCTGGTATACATAAAATGAACGATTGGTTAAAAAGTGACAATGTTTTTCATAAAGTGTGACATGCCCGTCGGATGAATATCTCCCGCACTATTTGTCCTGTCGCCTGACGTGTAGACACTGCCTCGTTTTTATAGAAGTGAACCGCGATCTTCAAATCATTCTTCAATCTTAATTGAATCGTTTCGTTAAATCTATTGAAAGTGGTGGGTACAATGGTTTAAATAAGCATATAAACATATTTTAACCCCAAAAAAACCCATACAACTGTAGCTACAACTAAAAGTAAAAGTAATCCATGTCTAATTAAAAGTTTATTTGCTAAGGAATCCGATCATCTTAATGCCAGTCAAAGAAATGTTTCCAGACTCGCAGATTGTTAGAAGATTGTGAAGAAAAATTACAATGAAACAAGGGCAAGCATGAACGTTGATACTCTTTCTAACTTGCTTGTAACTAAAATCAATTGCAATCCAATGAAAACCTTCAGTTGTCCAACCAAAGAGCGCAAAAAGGCCACTAGGGATATGCTGGAACACTGAACTCTTTGCACCCTGTGTACATACGTAAATAAAATGTATCTTCTGTCCTTTACTGTATATAATATAAACATTTCCAGTAATGTTTTCTCATGTTCTCTGGACTCTTCAAAGACAATGGAGGTAACTTTATATTTATTTATTTACTAAAAAGGCTTGTGCATTTGTTTATAGATCTTAAAGCAGCGGCTCCCCTTCCCCCCAACATGCAACCCCCCTACAGATTTTTTTTCTTGGCAGGTTGGCAGGTCTGCAATTGTACGCCAAGACCTGTTACAACTAGGATTTTAAGAAACTGGGTTGAAAATATATACATTCTGGTAGTTTTTCCAAATTAAAAAATAATAATTAAAAAGTACACTTAGTTTTAACCTGCTTTCTACATCCAGCAATGAATGGATTTGAGAAATATGAGTCGTTTGGGACCAAATATTACATTTCCCTTTAGAGGGGAAGGCAGTGGTGTTGATTTAGGAATATTTGTGTATGGGTGTGCTGGGTGGGGGGTGTCTAAATATTTAAGTCTATAAAAATAACACAACCACATTTTCATTTTAATAGTGCTGATGCTCATATTGTTTCTTTGTGTGTTTTCATAACTAACTCGCTAGACACGGCAACAGTAATATTATCATAGTCGCATTAGTGACAATTTTAGTCAATCCTCGCTTTTGTTTTCTTCGGTGTATGACTTGATTGTGTGACCTAATTATTTCTGTCCGTGGCGAATACAGAAATGAGAAAACTAGAGAATGTCATCTCAGCTGTTCCATGCAGCAACATTACATGTTGACATATTTATAGGATCTGAGAGGACCATTGAAATATATTTTTAGAGCACACAAAACAGCTGTATGATTTTTAAAATCTCCATTTGGCTCCAACACTCCTCTTCTTTTCACCCATTTAGGGCTTGTAATAATTATCAGACTATAATATATTACCGGGAAATATGTTAATGGATATTTAATCTTTTTTTTTTTTTTTTTTAAACAAGATTTTCCTAAATTAGAAATAACAATTTACATGTTAGGTTTTTTAAATGATGTCATAATTTGATAATTAATTCTTATTTCAATAGATTTTATTTTATGCTGATCTGACTTCGAGTTTGAACCACGTTAAATTTCACCAGTAACTTCATTTTTACAAGTGACAAACTGTGATGATGTAATCTGCACATTCACTCAATATAAATTAATATCTGTAGCAAATACATGTATGCAAAACAAAGTGACCACAGATTGTTATATTAGCGTCAGTCATTTCTTTTAGAAGTTACCTTTTTTGGTGCCAGTAGTTATCGTACGCATTATATAAACTGTATGTTTATTTATTTACTATTAAGATACTGTATTAAACGATTGCGAGACTATATTGTACGATGTTAGGATTGTAAACAGGTCTGAATTGGGAGTTGTAAGAAAAAAAATGACCTGTTGCTTGGGGGTGGAAAAGATTTCTCAAAATCTCATATTCACGCATCCAGATTTGACATGTCAATTTCTGAGTGAAATACCTTGATTTCAATACACTAAATGTTTGATTCCTGAATTAGTTTCAGTCTGTTATTTGTTGTGTCTCCAGGTAAAGCATGGATCAGATGCCTTCCTAGTGCTGAGCTCTGATGGTTTGAGTTTTGCCATCAGTGACGAGGAGATTGTGAACATTGTCAGCAGCTGTCAGACACCGCAGGAAGCCTGCAGTCGTTTGTCTGACCAGGCCCAGCATTTCGGCTCAGAGGATAACGTCACTGTGTTGGTGATCCCCCTTGGAGCATGGGGAAAATATCAAAAACTGACCGGTGGACATAATTTTAATTTTGGACGCATTTTATCCCATTCTCGCATTTATTAATAAGGGATAAATTTGGAAGGATGGAAATACCTGGCATATCAACTTTTTTTTTTTGAATGGAGGTTTTTTAAAATGTAAATAATCATCTTGGATAAGCAATTTATTTTAGAAATTTATCACATATTATTTATGGCATGTTCACTTAATGAAAATAAAACAAAGAGTTCAAGGGCTTAAATAACACTATCATATTTCATTGTTGCAACTCTCTAAACACATAAGTCAGGTTTTCCTAATTTTAAAAGACAAACTTAAAAACCAAATAACAATGAATTTATAAAACATTTAGTTGGATCATTTAACAGAAATGGTACTTTCTGTCCATATAATCTTAAAAATAGTTTTTAACAGGACATGGGGAACGCCTATCTCTTAATAAATTTGGAAGAAAAGAAAAGTTTTTAAAAAAAGATGGACTTACACATTCATACATTTACATAGACAATATGTAGTTGCTTGAAAGCTAGGCCAAGTCATGATAAAGCTGAAGTTATGTTAATTAGATCACATGTTCAGGTGTCTTAAAAAAATTCCATGAATTTATTTCTTTATTGTTTAATATAAATAGCTAAATCTACACCATCAATAAAAAAAAAAATAGAATTTAATCAAATGTTCAGTAACATTTCAACGGTGCTGTTGTATCCAGGAGCTCATTATCAGGCAACTGGAGACTGTACTGTCCATTGAAATATGGTTTTAAGGTGTTGTTTTGTAAACTACCATTAATTTCATTATGTTTAGAACCACTGAATCTCATCAGCTTGTACATAATCTGAAGGCCATTGCCAGTGTGTGACTCATTTGGAAAGTTTGTATTTATTGACAAGTGTTTGAATGGAATGCAAGGTGCTGTAACTAGTCAAACTTATTGCACTTGCAACATTTTGTAAATATATGGGAAAATGTTTCAAAGTTTTTAATGTTGGCTTTGGTTGTTGAAATAGTGTCAGGGTAGTAGGGCAGGGATGTTGAAAATAAATTCAGTTATTAAATTAATATTAGAAGGAAAATGTTCAAAAGTTCTTAAGTTTTTTTTATGCCATTGCCATCTTTGAATTCCTTAGAGAACAAGACTCATAAAAATAGTAAAAAAAATTCAGTAAAATAGACAGCAGTTGTCCCTATGAACTGATTTGCTTTATGATAAACTTTGGAGTTTAGTAGCTGAAAATAAATACCAGAGTGATATTTTCTACATGGTAGAACTTCAGTTCTATTTATTTTCTGCTTTTATCTACAAATTTCTCGTAAACCTTGTATATTCTGATGTCTCTAAATTATCAGACAACCCCATTAGAATTTAACAAGATCTCTAGGAATTTTGTTTTAATTTATGAACTCTACAGTAGACAAATCTGTTTTGTGAAGTTTACTTGTTTTAACTAGTTTTGTTCACCTATGAAAAGTATTTTATGCAGATGGAATTTTTATATAAATTGACTTTTGTCATTTAATAAACATAAGACAAAGTTATTTTTGTTGTTCAAAATGTGTTATTTATTGTAGAAGTAGAGATTTCTGCTTGTTATACTGAGAATCTTTTCAAAAAGATTGTTCTGCTATCAGTTGCCTAACTGGTACTTTAGTCCAAAATGGAGAAAATGAAAAGGATTGGTATTTTTATAGGTGACCTTCTCTTATTATGACGCTAAGTTTTAAAATACCATCTCATAGACTTGATGAATGCAGTCTTGCTGTCTAGGGCGCTTTTTTTAATCACGTTTCTTAATCCCAGGTAAAGGCAGTATTTAATTCATTTCAAGTACTTAAGACACATAATACATTTTACAAAGTGCAGAAAAACTGAAAAATATCCTGAAAATGATACAACACCAGGTTTCTGTTTTAATTATTTATTTTTTAAGAAGTTAATAAATAGTAAATCTTTTTTTTTTTTTTTAATTTAGTGATACAAAAAAAAAAAAAAACCATTGATAATACTGTGTAGGATAATGCAGGAATTTATATAAACACAATTGCAGCAGTTTACAACAACTAAGCATCAAATTAAACATCTCAACAACAGAAAAATTCAAGTTTCAAAAAAAAGTTTTAAAAATATTTTAGAGTCTTCCCATTTTGAAATCTGACTAACAACTCCAAAAAAAACCCAGTTATAATAAAATCAATGTTTCAACATAAATCATCCCTATTCAAGGCAGGAGTATATCTAGGCAGGAGTATTTCTAGCATAATATAAATGACATTCAACTAAAACTTATTTTCTCCCACTTATAAATAATTTATTTAAGAATTTAATTCCTTAAATCTGTTGCTTAAGAAGTTTGTTAATCAAACTAAGGATTTAATTAAGGATGCAACATGGATACTTTTTAAAAAAAAAAGTTTTTACAGTTTTAACTGAAATTGTGAAATGCTACATATATAAATATTTTTTAAAAGGCACCACCAAAAGCACATTCTTAAAATAATGTGCAAAAAATAACATTTTAACTATTTAAAAGTGTGAAATATATAAGAATTTGGATTTAGTGCAAAACTTGTAAAGTGTGCTGTTAAAGTCATAGAAAATTCACATCAGCTTGATTGGAATTTTTTAGAATTCCACAAAAATTATGTGTGTCCTTGAATGATCCAGGAAATTACTCTCATTCACCTATTCAATAACCGGATAAGCATGTGAAAAAATATTCCACAATACATAGAACACTTTAAGTGACAATGCTGAATAATTGTTTGCCATCTGACATTGATTGTCAATTTTGTTCAAGTTTTCAAATCCACCAGCAATTTTCACAATGTATTCAGGCCAAGCTCTGGCTGTATGATCCACTTTATAATTTTTCTAAACATTATATATCAAAGGTTATATATACTTTTTATCTATATATTTACATATTAATTTGATATTAAAATACATGGTGAACTAGTCTATTATCTATTGAACAATATAAATTGCAGATGTTTAATTACATTTTTGCCAAAATAGCATTTCCTGACAAGGCACACATAATAGGGTGAATGTAAAATAAATGAATCCACAAAAGCGATAAAATACATTAATAAACTAATTAATCTAATCAACTAAACACATGTCTAAATTAATATCTAACCAGAGGAACGTATTTTAAACATTAGAACCAGAAAGTTTTATTATTTTGTTGCAAAAACATGTAAAGACTAAATAAAGTAAACCTACATGAAAACAGGATTATTTTACTTCGTTGGATTATATGTAATGTAAACCACAAACATCCTAAAAAGGGATGCAAGCAGGTATAAAAATCAAATTTATCTAAGATAGGTTACAAAAACAAGGATGCTGTCAAAAATGTAAGTTATTTTATTATAAAAAAATTCTATAAAATGCTATATACATTTAAATACCACCAACACATTCGTAAAGTGAGAGGATTGATTGTGCAGAATAAATAAAGAAGCAGCCTTTAAACAAGCCTTGCCAACTATTAAATAGTTTTAGTTTAATTTAGTAGCATTTAAATAATAATATCTTAAATTCAATTTATCAAAATTTATGTTCTCAAACATGTTTGTTTTTTCCTCCTCAAAGACACAAATACAGCCAATGATTGTTTTAAAAAAAACTTCCGTTTGATGTAATGATCATTACACTATAATTGATAGCAGTCCAATTTTAATTAATATTTAGGTATAATACTAAACAGGCTTTAGCACCATTTCCAGCAAAAATAATTCAGTCGCAAGGATCACAGCATGGGTAAAGGATCACATCATGCAATGGGGACCAATGACTGGGACAGGGGTCATTTACTTGTTAATCTCAAATGCTTGTCATCAAAGTATTTATGATGAAACAGTGCAAAATTTAACAGAAAGTGACAGAAATTTCTAATGGGTATCACATATTTAAACAATATGAGGATCAGCTGAATATGGAATTTAAAGCTGGCTCAGGTTCTTTCAAGTATTACCACTGCTGAGAATAGTCAGTTGACTGAAATAATAGATTTTTAAAAATTGAAAATTAATGAATGCAAATTAGGAGCCTACATAATATAGAGTAATTTAAATGATGTCAACATTTATAAATAAATATATGTAATCTAAATAACGTCAGAATCAAATTTCCATATAGGTGTGGTACTTTAATACAATTAAAAAAACACTGTAAATGGCATAATTTTCAAAATCTCTCATTATTCTTTGCACAGTTTTAAACAAATTAGTATGCTAAAAATTAGCTTAGAAGGTGATCTAAAATCTCTCTTAAAATGTAAGTCATCATTTTTAATGATTAGTTTTATTTTTGTAAATAAATTTTCTGGTTACAGAATTTAGTTGAAATGCACAACTCTGAAAATCTGTGATTTAAATCTGTTGTCTCCAATAATTTAAGACATAAAATTCAGAGTCCTGCCCCTGTTCAAAGAAAGATCTTAAAGCAGTGTGGCTTATACTGGAGTTGGTTAGTCTTATATTCAAAATGTAACAACCTCAGAATTTTAAAGATGTTTTAACATCACACAACAGATATTTTGAGAAAGATACTTTTCTCCATTTAATAACTTACAGTAAGACGGCCTTTAATTTTTGCAGTGTAGTTTAAATATTGCTGATCTCTTAGGGCCTTGTACCTCTCCCTATGAACAAATGAAACCAGTTAAAAAGAGTCTATGGATTTATTATATGCCTAAATGATTAATTTTCTGAAAAAAAAAAAAAAGAATATATATATTCTATACTTTATAAGTTCTTTCAATCCTTATACCAAAAGAAAGGGATAAATAACATTTACAAATAGGCCTACATGCAAAAGGAAAGACATGGCTACACAAAAATACAATTATGTCATTAGCCCATCCAGACTGGTAAAGTAATTTTTCTGCTTCAACAGAAGAAAACCATTCAACACTAGCCCTACTAATCACAATCTATTGACATCAGATGAATGGGCTATATAATGGCGGCTGATGGTGACAGAGAAATGTATCAGTCTGCCATTAGTGTGGCGGCAATGTAACAAAGGCTCTTTCCTGATCAATCAGAGTTCAAATAAAGGGGCAATTAATCTGACAACTAATCAAAGCAAGCAAAGTCAAATGCTCTTGTTGGACAGGAACATATGATGTAAAGGATTAGGTCAACCAGGCTGATAAAAGGATTTATTGATTGGGAGCATTAGCTGTGAATAAAAGGGAAGCAAAAAGTTGCAATAACTTTATGATTTATGAACTCCCCTGTTGATCAGGACAACAAATATGTGAACTGTATGAAAACCAATAGCGAAAAATAAATAAATCAATAGGATGGCGGTACAAATGATTTAATATTAAATTTTATGCAGGTTTCATTATGAATATACTATCCATAGAAATCCAAATCAGTAGGCTACACACATCTTTATATTATTTAGCATACTGCTACCCGGTAGTTCAATAATATTGCAATTTTTTATTTTTTATTTGGAACTTAAGATTCAAACTGCCTCCTGAATTTTATCAAAATTAATTCTGTTTCATGTATTTTTTAATAACTTACTGATCAGCATCTGGGGCATATTTTCTATTTTGCACAGTATAAGAGAGTGGATTCTGATTTTCTGGTATGCTTCCAGATTTACTGTACAAACCCTTCTCCAGATGGCAGTTGTTCTCCTCTTGATTATTTCTTAGTCTTTCCTGGGTAAAAAAATAAGCATCTGCTGATCTTAATTTATTAAAAAGATGATTATTTTTTATTATTGTATATTTGTTTATGTCGTACCATAATTTGGATGATCTAGTTTATGCTTTAAAAAATTTTACTCTGTCACAGATTTTTTTAACGCTAAACAAAATGCTGATTAATGGAGAAAATTAATGAATAACATTAGTTGCCAAATGACAAATGTTATCCAGAACCACTTGTTCATATTTTGTAACTTTCATTTTCAGATTGGTAGAATATTTACAAAGATTCTTAAAAGTTTTAAAATTAAAAAAATATTGTAAGAGTAATGATTATATTATAAAATAATCATATGACTTATCTAATTTAAGCGTCCTACTTTTCATTTTTTCCTAATTCCTGTAGGCATGTTATTTGTAGAAATGTATAATTTGTTGGGTTGTTTTTTTTCAAGTAAATGATGTCTCCAGCAACCCAAGCCTAGCTAGACTCATGTATTTATAATTAATTAATAATGTTGTGCTGTGAGCTAAAAGCAACTAAACATAAAATATTAACTATATTGGAAAAAACCAGATAATGTTACAGCTTTAAACTTACCATAAGTAACTTTTTAATATATGCCTGCCTATTGATAAAATTTTCCTTTCTCAGTGCTTCATGGTGCTCATTAATCCCTGATGCCATTTTACACTTAGGTTTTTTTTCTTGAAAGACATAAACGCATAGATAGAAATAATGCTAAATATTCCATTTTTTTATGGATAATAAAGTTTCAGTATATAGAATATAGTATATTGACCTAGTTGTTTTTATACAAATTAAGTAAAAAACTTATCATAAATTTTGAATCTGAGTAATTACTATACTATTTACAATTAATATTCATAAATCTTAATATTTATTATTTATTATTTATTAAATAAAAGTGATGATATGATATTTGAATTTGATATGCATATGAATATGCCATGCCTGTTCACTGTCTAAACTAAACTAAATTATTGACTGACTAAAACAGCAGTAGGCAACCTACGTTGCTAACTTGAAGTACTTTATGACAAGTAAATGTAGATCACTAACTTTAAATAAAAAGTAAACCATTTCCATTTACTAAAAAGTAAATAAAGAAAATTTAGAAAATTATGTTGAAAAAAAATTAAGTAACAATTTAGACAATTACTAATAAAATTATACTAATTAAACTAATTATAGTTATTAGTTAATTATTATTAGGTTTAACTCAACATAATAATCTAGCAATATAGATATATTAAATAATAATACATCACTTTATTATGCCAAATATTAAAGTTAAGTATTTCAGACCCTTTGATATTTTTGAAACCTGAAAATTTTAACTTGACTTGGAAGGACTTCAACGAAATCAGGCTGGTTGGGGTTGCTAGGCAATTGATTAAATCACCCCTGAGGTTAAAGAGCTCCTTTTTTTTTTTTTTTTTTTTTTTTTTTTGAGTTGTAGGCCTTTTTAAATAATTTCAATTTTGGAAGTACTTGTGTTGATAATAAGTAATCTCTCCTGTAAGTTTTTATTGATACAATTAACTTGTTTCAAATACAATAGAGCAGCGTTTCCATATTTTTTTCTCGTGGCCAATACTCATGTCTTTACAGTTTTATATATATTTCAATTTTAAAAATAATAATTTGTAAAAAAAAAAAAATAATAAAATAACATTTGAAAAAATTAACGTAAAAGTAATAATTTAGAAAAAGCAATTTCTTCTTTTTTAGTCAAAAGAAATCAAACAGAAAAATTGGTGCCGTAAATAATTTATTGATTAGCTGAGAAATGCAATTCAATGTTTCTTCAATTCTTGTTTACTAGAAGCTTCAGGCTTGGAGAAAAAGATTACAACTTTATTCTCACATCCAAGTTATTGTCAATTCCCTAATTTCTCCTTTCTCCATCTTCTGCCTTATTAGCATGGCTTTTTGCTGCACTGACGGCTAAAACAAGCTGGACGATTCGGTTACGTCTATATTCTTAGCCGAGCCATTGCTTCGTCTTACTTAATGATATTAGATATTAAATATCTGCGGACAATGAGACAGCATAACAATCCCCTTGTATTTCAACGCTGTTTACTATTGTTTGGGAGTTTCTTTGGGGGGGGGGGGGAACCCACCAATCATTAAACAAACACCTTGGTAAGTTTTGGAGAATTTTTTTCGCGACACAGTATTTTTGTTTTCATGGTCGGGTACCGAGTCGCGACCTGGCACTTATGGCATTTTGTCTACCTATGGACAGCAATGATAAGCTACTGAGGCTACTGTGACTTCATAGGGAGTCATTCATTCTAATTTCAAGGACACGCTAAACACTTTATAAATACCGGTAATTAAAAAAAATGACGAAAGTAATACAAATTGTACCCACTCTAAACTAATATAAAAATAC